GCAGACAGACACCCGGGGGGTCAACGAGTGATCAGCCACTGGGCCGGCGAAGATGCCACGGTAAGGACCCAACGCACGGACATTCCCGCGGCTGCATCCCGGCGCTCAGCAGCATCCCCTCTGTCAGGGCACCGCCTTCCCGATGCTCCCCAAGGAGCGAGCCAGCCGCCTGCCTCTCTGCCCCCCCCAACCTCTCTAACACTTGCTGTACACCCAGCTCATCTTCCTCGCTGCTTTTAGGAGCGCAAAGGTTGGTCTAAATGGGTGCAGCTCCTTGGCTTGAGCCATGGCGATTCGCAGCATCTGCAAGACCTGGTCGGTACAGATTGCTCGGCTCTGCTTTAAGCCTCGCTGTTTTGTCTTTGTCTCTTGTTTGTGCTGTGCCTGGAGCTCTGAATTCGTGAGCAGAGCATCCCAAGTCTCCCTCTTTTCAGTGTGTAGCTTATGACATGCAGAGGCACAGCAGCCAAGCACAAGAAAGGGTTAAGGAGAGGCCAGGCTGTGTTTCAAAGTTGTTTCTGTGAGGAGGGTGAGCTTGAGGTTTAAAACAGGGAGCTTTTTAGCTTTATTTTTTCGCCAGGAGAGAATCCTCTGGAGAATTTAGCTACAGGTTTCTACAGAAAAGGGCAAAAGAAAAAAACCCCAACTATTTGCTCCTGCTCTTCATAGCTGGGTTCAGCCACCTCTCATGTTTCAGCAACTTAAAAATCCCAACAAACACAACCAACCCCCTTGAAAAAGGAACAAATTGCCTCAGATTGTTGTCTGCACCTTGTTTAGAAGTGCACCCAGGATCATCTTCTCCTCTCAGGGTGTTATTAGCCCACAGCTAATAAAATGCCAACTGCCTTGGAGCTTTTCCAATACCTGTGTAAGGGCAGGAGAGGCCAAGCTGTAGAATTAACTGTTCATCCCCCACAGCTCTTAACACCTTAGCAAGGAGGAGGCTCAGTGTGTGGCAGAATTCATTGGCAAGATTTACTAACCTTTCCTTTCCATCTGTCTCCATTTGCCTGTGGTCTGTGGTTATTTTCCATTCATTTCCTTGAAGCACTGAGATGCCTTTTGGTGTTCCTGTCCCCCTTCCAGAAAATCCTCTGAGTGAATAGCTTGCTCCCTCAAAAAGATGGGCCAGGTTTTCCTTTCAGCTGCTTAAATGCAGCCCTGCTGAAACCAGAGGAGTTTGATTCCTATCCCCAATAATTTAACTCCAACATCTCCACTTGAAACCAAAAAGCATCTGCTCTTACATTTGTCTTCAACCTTTACCAGGGAAGGATCACACGTTTGTGATTCTACTACTGCTGGTCCTGCTCCCACCCACCTTCCCACTGTACGTTGCATCCCACTATCCTCAGAGCACACTCCATGAAGGCATGGTCTTAAGAATGCTCTGAAATTGTTAATCACAGCTCTGAGTTGGCATCTGTTTTCCAGCTTCCCTGTGGTGCCTAACAGTTTATTGCCAAAAGAAGTCTCTCATTCAGGGTGAGAAAGCCTTGGCCTTGACCCTGGCAGTGCTTAACTAACAAGTTTCATTCTGTGTTGCAAGATATCGTGACTGGGAGAGTTTAGGAGGAGGAAAAAGCAATGACAAGAATTCAGTGGAACATGTTTATGTTCCTAGTTTGTATGGGGCTTCCATCTTCCTCAGATTCTCCTCAGCAACACATGCAGTTAGGACCTGTAGCACAGCAAACATTAGAATCATAGAATGGTGTTTGTTGGAAGGAACCTTAAAGTTCATCCAGTTCCATCCCCTGCCATGGGCAGGGACACCTTCCAGTAGAGCAGGTTGCTCCAATCCCCTGTGTCCAACCTGGCCTTGAACACTGCCAGGGATGGGGCAGCCACAGCTTCTCTGGGCCAGTGTCTCACTACCCTCACAGGGAAGAACTTCTGCCTAAGATCTAATCTATTCAGTTTAAAGCCATTCCCCCTTGTCCTGTCCCTACATGCCCTTGTATAAAGCCTCTCTCCAGCTTTCTTGTAGGCTCTTTTTAGGTATTGGAAGGCAGAACCTCAGCGTCTTGTCCATTCACCAATCCTCTAGAGGATCAGGTGTATCCATCTACTACCAGCTGTCTACTGACATGCTCACTGGACTCTAAATCCATGCCTGGCCACTCTAAAGATACCCTGCTTGGTGGTACATGAGCTAATTCATCTCAGGATGCTCACAGGACAAGCTAACTGAGAAGCTTCCGGGATAACTGTCATGTCCTGCATGTTCAGCTCAGGTTAGGGGTTCCCAGGCTAGCTTATGCATCCAGAGATATTCAAGGATGCGAAAGAACATCCTTGTACTGACTGCACTAAGCACTTCCAATGCGCAGGTACAGTTCATACCTTGATAATACAAAGCTTATTGGCCAGCAGACTACAAAGTCGGGATGTCAGTTGTAAATATCATATGGCACTTCCCAAAGACTATCCTTTGCCTTTTGCTTTTTATCTCCTCCAGAGCAGAACTGAGGATAATTCCAAAATTCAGGTAGTATCTTATATTAGGGACCTATTAGTGAAGGAGACGCATGAGATACAGCTAATAAAAAACAATCCTGTCTGATGATGTTAAGAGTCTTCAGGAGATATTATTCTGCTTGGAGGCTATACTGGAAAAGCCCATTCTCTACATATAGCAATGACATGCATGTGTATTTCTTCTCACTGAAGGTGAAATGCTGCCAGCATTTCCTTCATGGCATAAACTTGTGATAGAAGTGGAAGATAGGTAGAGTAGTTTTGAGTAACAACTGTGTTTTGGCATGCATGAATGGCCTTTCTGACCAGTTCCAACCTTTACTTTTCATCCCAACCGGAAAGAAGTGAGGCTATTAAGCTCAGAGGCAGAACTCTTCATGGGAAAGTCATGTCAGAGCATTTAGAGGCATGTTTAGAAAACAGATGGATATTGGCAAGGAAGCCCCAGGTAGAAAAAATACCTTCTAGGTGGTCAGGCAGAAGCTGCTGTTCTGAGTCAACCCCGGTCAATACCACATGAATCAGTGAGGTCTCCGGGCAGTACCTGGTCAGACCTCCAAAGACTTCCCTCCCCTCCCCATTCATTTAAATAATATTGAATCAACATTCTTTAATGCTTCTCATGTGTTCACCCTCTCCCTCTTTCCCCTTTTTCCCCCCTTTTTGCCCTAAATTGCAAAACGTTGCAGCAGGCACAGTCAGTTCTTCACTTCCCAACTCATTCTGCTCACACATTTCAGTGGCATTTATGGGTCCAAGAGCTGAAAATGCTCCAGTAACTGAAGTGCTAGTAAAAGAGGCTTAAGATTGGTCTGCTACCAGTTGTAACCTTGGGTAAGTCAGGTCTTTAGTGTAATACTCCCTGTGTAGAAGGGAGAAGATGGTATTCTGTAACCTCAGATGGGCTGTGATGGTGACACCAGAGGATGAAGTATGCATAAATTCAGGTAAAGAAAATTAAATTCCTCAAAGTAGGGAAGGAGGATGATGACTTGGGACAAGCATTTCTTTGGATGAGAAACTCTCAGCTGTCTGCAGCTCTGGAAACAGCTTTGCTGGTCCTAGAGATTTCCCTTCATTTTGGCACCAGTGAAACAACACCAGAGGCTAACCCAATGCAGTCAAAAAGTCTCACTTGTGCCAGGCTAAGTTTTACCAGTAATGCAGTCCTCATGAGGGAACATGGCCAAATTGATTCAAACCTTTACCTGTGGCAACAGGGACCACTTTGTCCACTAAATTGGTTACCAAAGGGCATAGTTTGGGTTCTGGCATGAGGAAAATCTGGTGCCTTACAGAAAAAGTGCACCTCGGTTTCATTTCTGGCATTTCAGTTTGACTCTCCCATTGAAATGACATTTTCCCCTCCCTTTCTTCGCCCAAACTCTGGCATTTTATGGCTTTTTTAATCTTTAAACCATTCCACAGGGTTTTATTTCTCTCCTGCACCTGTAGAAGCTCTTCTCTCCTCTCACTCCCTGCCAATGCTACAGCTCTAACTTCTCATATATCATTTCTTTAACTTCAAGTTAAATGGCTTAGATCAGCTTTCACTCACCCTCCTTACATGCCTCCCACAGCAAAACTGCTATGGTCAGGGTATTATTCCAAAGCTCAATCCAAAGTCTTGGAATGAAGTGAAAGTTCCTGTTGATTTTGGTGGACTTTGGGACCTAGGTTGTTGGCTGGTATTTTTGAACACCACAGCCAGCCTTTTGATGGAGGTCAGCTCCCAGAAGGTTAAGGCGGACACACTGAGTGCTGACCAGTTTCGGTTTAGGGTCAGAGGTGAGATTGCAGTTGGTCTCTACAGTTATTAGGCAATGAGGCAAAGGTAGCAAGGCTGATGCATGGTACTCCTGACCTATTTTTGACTGGTTTTTGATGCACCAGTCTTTGCACATTATGGAACTACATCTTTAGAGCTCTCCTAGGTGAGTTTCTAGAGTTAACTCCAGTTCTGTGCAGTCAAGAAAAGGACATGGACAGAGTAAGTTTCTGATCTTGGTCAACTTTCTGTCCCTGTCACTGTCTTTGGGCTTAAAATTCAAGCCATACGGAAGGAGGGGTGGGCAAGATCTCACTACTAGCAGCAGATGCATCAAGTATATGATTCCCATCAGGCATCTGTAGGACAGAGGTAGACAAAAAACATGGAAAAGGGAAGAAGTACAGAGAAAGAAGAGCCAGGCAAACTCATGAATGTCAGGATCCAGAAGACTCTATAACCAAGGCATTGTCCCTCCCTATTAGAAGTCTTGAAAATATGTAAGGAAAATAGTATTCCAGCTATGTTTCCTGCTTTTCCAGCCTCAGGAGTGTATGGGACAAGATTTATTTCACAAGTTCCATCAACATTGCTTTTCATCCCCCATTTAGATTCTGTTGCAGAAACTTAACAAGTTACTTATGTCTCTTATCACATGTTGGAGGGGCTTCAGTAAAATGTACCCAATATTCAAGGCATGTACTGAATAGACAATGTAGAAGCAGTCTTGCAAAAGATTAATGAGCCTTTTATAGGGACAAGCAGCCATATACCACAGCACAATTAGAAACAACAAGTCTTATCATGTATATTGATAAATGTAATCTCTTCAACCTGCTTAGCATTATGCACAGTATGAGTAAAGTTGCTTTTTGGTGTAGGTCTCTTTGTGAAGGGGGTCCTAGCCACTGCAAAGCTTGATGGCAAGCACTTTAAAGCAATTGCTTTGCTTGAAGCTCTGGTATACAAGTGTGGGTTTAGTTTGGTTCCTTCCTAAGATGTTTTACTTGGACTTGCATGGAGATAGAATTGCCTATATGTCTATAATATGATTCTAGAATAAAGAAGAGTTAAGGTAGCATTTGGTTACTCGTCTTGCAGAACAAAAGGAAAAAGGCAGTCTCCAAAATGAAGAGTCACCCTTTTTTTCTTAGTGTGTTAGTACTGGGATCTATAGATCTGGCCAAAACATCCAACAATACTTTATATATCTGCAGTCATCCCAGGTTCAGTCACCCCTCTCTTGAATTGCCTCCTCCAGGCAGCAGACTTTCAAAAGGTATTTATATCCTCGTGGGGATTTGCACAAATTCCTCTCTGCCTCCTACCTTCTAAGGGAATTAGCAGGATTTAGGTATTTAGTTGCTTAGAAAACATTTCTTGAGGTGCCTTTAACCATATGTCTGGGTAACATCCCAGGTCTCACCATTCACTTGCTACTAGATAAGCAAATTCATCAGCCTCTAGTAGAAGTACTGCACTGCAAGTGATCACAGAGGTGGAAGCCAGTCTGACACCCCTCTTTCACAGTAACATGGTGGGGATGACTGTAGAAGACAGTACTGTATATTGATGGGAATGACATAAGTAGGAAGCAATAGCTTACTCCTGAATCTCACACAGTTATGCCTATTTGCACTCCAGGATGCATTCCAGGCTTTCCACATCAATCCCACCTTGGTGCAGAAGTTTCTCAAGCCATTACTTATTGGAGAGCTTGCTCCAGGGGAACCTAGCCAGGACCGAGACAAAAATGTGAGTATTTGTTTCTGAGCTGTGTTCCTGATGAGCATGTTCCCTATCTTGTTCTTTTGGGATGTCCTCCAGGTCGGAGGCAGATTATAAAGCTCCAGAGAGGGAGAAAAGTGGTCCATGACTGAACATCTTGTAGCAATGCGCACATCCCAGCATAGACTAAAAGTGTGTGCAAGGGAAGTGACACATCCAGACTGGCTATACAAGCCTTTCCCTTCCCTTCCTAGCAGCCCAGTCCAGGAGTCCAGGCTGGATTGATCCCATACTGAAGGGAAATAGGAACTGAGACGTGTGGACTGGGAAATGTGCACCATCTCTTGTGGCTCATATCCCTTCTGCTGTTCAGCCTTAAAACACATATCATGGCTTGCCTGTTACAGGGGAAGGAGAGGAGTAGGCAGAGAAGTCTGAAAAGACTTCCAAACAAGTTACTCATCACCTCAACAAGACTTTAATCTACTCGCTGTTCACTCTGCAGCTCCCTTTGACACATTAGCTCCCAGAGAAATACCTCTTTGAGACTTAAACTGGCTTATCCTGCTGAGACCAGTATCAGTAAAGCCACATTTGAGCCATGCATGGCACAAGCAGTAAGCACCAATAGGTGGGGTGAGCCAGATGTCTCATTTTGGTAGCTGTGCTTAAGGAGCAGCAACCAAGCAGGTACCTTTTCCTCCCACTCAGCACCCTCAGGGCAGCTCTGTATCCCTCCCAGACAGTCTGTTCATCCATTATTCAGGCACAGTGCGTGGCATGATTAGCTCTTGCCACGAAACTCAATCCTGTCCCCTTGTTTGTGACTAGCCATGATTATGATATATCTGAATCACTCACAATAGAAGAGACAATGCCAACCTGCATTAACCCAGGAATGCTCTTCTTGAATGATTGCACAGTACCTCAGCCTCATATTAAATAGATGATGGGTGCTCTGATATTGGGTGCTCATCATCAGAGCTCTGGAATTATGCGTAAGTAATAGGACCACATTCTCTCTTTCTCCAGCAGTCTCCTTAGTACTTGTAAAGCTCATTCAGACGAGAGTCAACTGATGTAACTCTCAACACAGCCAGGTAATGCTGCTGATTCACAGCAGAAGGCTTGAATTACTCTCCTAGCTCAAGGTGCAAAAGGTCAGGATGTGGGCTCAGACCAGCCAGAATGTTTATTCATAGGGAAGTGCTGTGAAAAACTAGAATACAGGGTGAATATAGAGGCAGGTTCTTCTTTACTTCTGGAGTAGCCAACCAACATAAAAAGCAGCCAGGGTCCTTAATATGGAACTTTGCCTACCTTCCTTAGGCTCATTTAGACTTACTTATAAGCTTCATACTGTGTCTTCCATGTCTATTTTGCAGTCCCAGCTGGTGGAGGATTTCCGGACCCTGAGGAAGACAGTAGAGGACATGGACTTGTTCAGAGCAAATCCTTTGTTCTTCTCTCTTTACTTGGGCCATATCATTGTAATGGAAGTATTGGCCTGGTTAATGGTTTCATACTTCGGCAATGGCTGGATCATAACTCTCATCCTCTCCTGCATCCTTGCAACTTCCCAGGTGAGAAATAGTGCGCACCGAGCATATTGGCTACTCAAATCCCTCAGGAGAAGGCCAGTTACTAAAGCAGAACACAGAAAACCACAGAAACAACACACCTGCTGCTGTGGTGCCAGTGGCTTCTGGCCACCCCTACACACTGATGATGGTGGCTTACACATTTTCCTCACCTCTTTGGCCTTTCCTTCCACATGTTGGTGGACTTGGTAATGTTAGGTTTACGGTTGGACTCGATGATCCTAATGGTGTTTTCCAACCTGAATGATTCTATGAGTCTGTGTTCCCCTCCAGAATGAAAAAAGAGATTTCACCTTCTCTCTTCCTTACACTCAAAACTAGTCTTCTATCTCTGTTTCCTTTTGTGCTTAATTCTCATTTCAAACACTTGATTTCCCTTCATCCTAGGCCCAGGCAGGGTGGCTGCAACATGATTTTGGACACCTCTCTGTCTTTAAGAAGTCTTCCTGGAACCACATTGTCCACAAGTTTGTCATTGGACACCTAAAGGTAAAGGACTTTATGGACCCAGGGCACTGTGGAAACAACTGCAACCACTTTGACTATGTTAGAGTAGGAAATGACAGCTCTAAGCCTTTCTACAGTGTGGAGATGCACAGGGTAGAAGTTAGTGACCACTGCACATGGAGCTGTTGTGCAGAAGAGATAAGGGACCCTAATCATAGCTGTTACAGAACACCATAGTTCACAAGCTTCACTGGAACTGCATCAATTTATAGCAGCTGAGGACAAAGCTTATCACATTGCATAAACCCCATTTTAACATCCTGTCATGTTTTCACCATGCACTCCACCATCCATTCAAGATGCCTTCAGAACTTCTATCCTCAGCAAGAATGAGTCCAGGCTTTTCAGCATCTGCCTTTAGGAGGAACTGATAGGGGATGGGACATAGCTTTGCCCATTCTCTCAAACCCACTTCATCTTTCCTGGCTCTGCACAGGCAGTAGAGGGAAATCAGTACAATAATCAGTAAGACAGCAAGAGGGTTTAGTGGTGGACTTGGTAGTGTTAGGTTAATGGTTGGACTTTTCCAACCTAAATGATTCTATGAATCAGCTACTAATAACAACTTCACATGTGGAAGATACAGTGCATGCAATTCAGAGTATATTTATTCCCTGTTCTTTCAATCTGGATCATCCCTAGCGAGAGCAAACCAGCCCTCTGAATCCAGCAGTCTCACAGCAACTGACACCTTGGCCACTTACTGTTTATTGCTTTTTCAAAAGCAAGTAACATTTTGGCCATTGTAGGTTATATAAAAGAATGGGTAATCCTACCATTAGAGGAGCTGCAGTTTCCTATGGCTGAACAACTTGGTCTTGTATCTGCCCAGGGTGCCTCTGCAAACTGGTGGAACCATCGTCACTTCCAACACCACGCCAAGCCCAACATATTCAAGAAGGACCCAGATGTGAACATGCTGCATATTTTTGTCCTTGGAGATACACAGCCTGTTGAGGTAAGGGAAAGGAGGTAAAACATGGGAACAGTTGTCCTGAAGGGCTTCAGAGAACGCTTGTGCAAAACCAGGTGTTGGCTAGTGCTGTTAGACATGACTTACAGTCAAGACTTACAGGAATGTTAGAAAGGGAAATGGTTCATCCAGGGATTTAAAAGCAGACCGTGGTTGTAGCACTTAAAGGAAAATCTAACCATGTAAACATTTATGACAAGGAAAACGGGATCTTCCTCCTACAAAATATCTGAAATATTAGGCCAGCATCATTCTATCCCAATACTCCTTCATACTTGCATACAACCCTTTTCCAGACAATGCTAAAAACACAGCCTTTCAGAGCCCAGACCAGAGTGAATGATGTGCCTGATTTATTGGTGCTACAAGACTTACCTTCATGGAGAAGTTGGTATGCTGGAGGCAAAAATGCAGGTTCACAGCAATCCAGATTCTCCATGCTTTAGCTTCTTGTGTGAACATGCCTGGAGCTCAAAAGAGACACTTCTGTATAGCTCCAGATATTTCACTATGGAGATGAGGTGAAGAGATTGCGTGCTGAAAAGAAATGGGAACCTGCAAGAATGCAAAAAACCAACAGAAATTACATGAATATCAAGCTAAAAGACTTTAAAAAGGGATTTACATCTATCACAATTACAAAGTCAGTGTATTTAACCAAAACACCTGGTGGTGGGAATTTAGGCAAAACTCTCCAGTCAATAAACAAAGAAGTATTGCAGAGAATCTTCTCTTTCATCTGTCATAATCCAAGCCTGAGTTTTCTCCTCTGTGTCCTGCAGTATGGCAAGAAGAAGCTGAAGTACTTACCTTACAACCACCAGCACGAGTACTTCTTCCTCAGTGAGTATCTACCTGCCCTGCACTCTTCCTTTTCCCTGAATTCCAGTTGACTTTTCCAGTCCCTCTTGTGTTAGCAGAGCAACTCCTCGAGTCAACTCATCCTGCCCTTCCTCAGGACCACCATCCCCTGTGCAGGTCCCAAAATCAGTTCAGTATATTCTTTAGTGGTACCCAAGCATCTTGAACACTGCCAGTATGGCAATTCCCAGCCGAGACTGGGGAGTAACCTCTGTGTGAGCGGCTCCATGGGAAAATCCATGTAGCAGTTGCTCTTTGATAATCTTAAAGGTCTTGTTCAACCTAAATGATTCTATGATTCCATGATTCAGCTACTGATAACAACTTCATACGTGGGAAGACAGTGACATGCAACACAGGGCCTCCTTTCTTCACAGAAAGGCAAGCACGCCCCATCACCAACACCTCACTGCTCTGACCAGTGCTAGATAGAACCAGAAACAGTTCCTAATCCTAGGAAATCCCCGTCCTAAATCACTGGCTCACTCATGTCACACACTTTTCCATCCCTCTGATGGCCAAAACCTTTTGCTTTGCTTTGCAGTCTTCCCACCTCTGCTCATCCCTTTGTATTTCCAAATACAAATCATCTCGACCATGATCAAGCGCAGGTTCTGGGCGGTGAGTGAAATGTTCCTTTGCTCTTTATGGGGTCTGCCTGGCTCATAAGAAATCACACTTGAGTAAGGAGGGAGGCCAGTGGGCAGGGATCACACTTTGCTGTATTAATTACCCAGTGTCCCTAACATCACCAGCAAGGACATGTTATATGAGATAGGCAAAGTGATGCCTAATGTCTTCTCTCTTCCCCTAGGACCTAGCCTGGGCCATCAGCTACTACATACGCTACTTCATCACATACATCCCATTTTATGGCGTTCTGGGATCCCTGTTTCTCCTCACTTTTGTCAGGTAGGAGAAAAAGGGCATCCCTGCTGCTCTCCCCTCCCTCCAGTGCCAGACAAACCAAATCTCAGCTCTGCGAGGCCCCACAGGCCTTCCCTGTTTAGATTCTCTGCAGCCATTGACTTCACTGTGTGTTATCTTGGCTATTCCCACTGCTTCACTTTCCTCTTATCATCTCCCAACTCTACCTCCCTGTAGCAGAGCTGGTTCTGGTGCTCAGCATCTTCCCCTGCCCTTGTGATGGTCCAGCCAGGATTCTCCCTTCTTTCCTTGTTCCCTATTCTCACACGCTGCCTGATCCCAACACATACATGCATTTTTTTCCACTTTGGTCAAGGCTGGACCCTTCCAGAGTGCCTCTTTCTTCCTAGTTTACTAGGAAGGTGATTCAAGAGCCCTCCTGAGCACTTCATGTGCTTCCCCTGTGAATGAAATGCTCACTGCTTCTCCCAGTGTGGAAGACTGCATGGCCTATACACCGGCTAGTACCAAGGGATGGCATTTAGTCCCACAGTCAGCAGCAGCTTTAAGGCAAACATTTAATCACAGTAAAAAACATTGTCTAAAACCAAAATTTAAAATATCTTTTTTGAGTAAAAGAAATGACAACAAATGTACAAAAAAGAAACAATCACAATATTGGAACTTTTGCCTTCACAAGATTTAATGTCTGTAGCTTCAGTTTTCATAGTTTCAAAACACTTTGGAACTAAGGAAAAGAGATTCAAAAGACACACTTAAGTGCCCAGCCAACCTTTTCAGTCCGAAATCAAGCTGAAAAACTTACAACTGACGCATTATTCACAAAGGTTCCATATTTTGATTAAGTTAAAGGTGCAAGGCAGCAAAATTGCAAATTCAAATCAAATACTCTTTCAGAAACAAGCCTAAAGACTAGAACAAGGATGATTCTGGACAACTACTTTGTCAGCATACATCTAATTCTCAGCATAGAGAAACTAACTTGGGTAAAGAGAAGAAAGGGCATTTCTGTAGAGTACTGTACAGGTGCTAAAAATGCAGTTATATACCATAAGCAATAAACAAACTGCTCTAAAGTGGTACCCAGGCCAGGGCAAAGTTGAGACTTAGCACTATAGGCACTGAGAGCACAAAGGGAAGCGGGGAGCTCCAGTGCGCTGACCTTAACACCCAGAAAGCTAACAGCAGTGGGCAGGTGGATTTTGAAATGACTGTATATCCATCAAGCAATGGGAAAGGTGAAAACAGTTCTGAGAATTCCAAGTTCTGGGAACTCCATCACAGAAGTGTTTCAGTCTGGTTCCACACAAAGAGAGGTACCTACTTCAATACCTTAGAGAAACACTTTCCTCCCAGGTTGCACCTACTGCTGCTCCCTGTTAAGCCCACTGTATCTACCTCCTACCCCAGGCTGCAATGTAAATTGTTCTGCTTTCTTGCCTCTTTGTTTTGGAAGGTTTCTGGAGAGTCACTGGTTTGTGTGGGTCACGCAGATGAATCACATTCCAATGGAAATTGATTCCGAGAAGCACAGAGACTGGCTTAGCTCTCAGGTAACTGGGAAGGGAAAGGATACTCTAACTCACCCCAAGATGGATTAGAGATTTACTCAGAGAGAAAATGTGTTACCACTGTCCCCAGGTACTAGTATATGGTCTCTGTCCGTGATGCCTCCCAGAAAGATGTTGTCCTCAGAGCCTTCATGCTGAGTCAAGACATGGGAGTCAAAACTGCTGTAATTAATTTGATAACCAAAAGGTTACTTCAGATTTGGGGCAGTATCAGATTCAAGAAGCATGATTTGGCGTTTCTATGTGGTGTATTTCAGCATATACATATGAGCAAACAGAAAAGCCCCAACGAAAATCAAGGCTGAAGGGAGAGCTCAACATATTCCTGAAGTTTATATTTCAGCAATAAGGACTGAAATGAAAACCAGCTGCTTTCAACATCTTTTTAATGCCACACAGAGTCAGATAAATCCACCTTGCTGAAAGGATACCTTTTATTTACAGTGTTCCAAGTGTAAGAGCCTGAGGATAATGAGAGCAACTTTGACACTGGCCATGTGAATTCGGTATTACTGAGCTGAGAGAAGAAATAATCCCGGTCCTAACTAGTATATAATTACTATTTGTAGTTGTTAGCAGGGCCTTGAAGGTGGAGCTTTCAAAGCCAATTGCTCTCCCTTGTGCTAAATATGCAAAAGCACAAAATAAAAAGAAGGTGCTAAAACACTATTTAGGAAAGCACCTACACATTTGTTTTAAATTAAGCATGTGAATAGATTCACTGAAGGCTTGGGAGTATCCAGGTGTTCACCTTAAGCTTTTGCTCAAGCTCTTTATGCAACTGGAATTTGGGGGTAAAGAGGTTGTGAGAGAGATAGATTTGGGAAGGGGACCTATAAAAGAAAGAGAAATGGGTAAAGAGGGTTAAAATGGGTATGTGATAGAGGGAGATAAGCCTCTTTGACACTGGTGTGGTTTTAAGATGCATCTTGAGAACAGTATATCTGCTATGGTTACTACATAGAAATCACAGCGTAGCCACTCCGAATGTAAGAGGATTTTAAGCAAGACTTTCTATTTTACAATTATTAATAGCAAGAGTAGCTAAGATTTCCAGAACTTTCAGATCTTGTGCTTAAGGCAAACTGGGCAATAACTAGATAGGATGTGGAAGGCAGCTTTCTGTGCCTGTGCATTTTCCTCCCGTTTTCCATCTTAGTACTGTTGTTAACCACCTGATCTTGAATGTCAGAAGCTGAGATTTATAAGTCTATACTTGGGCTGCTAAATTACTTGTCACCAAATGTCCATAAAGTGCCTCCTGATATTGTCCCCTTCACCATGGTCAGCCCAACAGCTGGCAACAAGCCCTTAAAGGAGGATTAAAACTCTCCTTGCTACAACCAGCTATTTGATAGCAGAAGTCTTGCGCGCTCCGAGAGCTCAGTAGTGCAGTAAGACCCAGATCAGCCCCTGCCACAGGCAAAGAAGAGTTTGTTCTGATTTTAGGGTGGGACTTCACTACTCTTCACAGATGCTTTCTTGCCTTCCCAGATGGCAGCCACCTGCAATATCGAGCAGTCCTTCTTCAACGACTGGTTCACCGGGCACCTGAATTTTCAAATCGAGCACCAGTGAGTATGGACCCAGGATCATTTGGCCACTACCAGGTTGTCCCAACACAGGACATGAGGGGAGAGAAAGCCTGCTAAAGGGATGGGGCAGGATCTTTGGAGAGCTACCATATGCCAAGGAAAGAGAGTCCCATGTTGTTGGGGGTCATATTCTGCTTCTACTAGAGGCATGTCATCTTTCTTGCTACCAAATACTTCAGCTTTCACACTTTTAATTTGGGGTTTAATTAGGAGTCAGCAATACATATCTACTAGTTACAATGGCTGTGGACTCAAATCCTAAGCTAACTGCTTGAATTTAGGTATCCAGTTTCCTCTCCCCTAAAGCACTTCAGTGTTTTACAGCATCTAACAGCTCTGTGGGAGTGCATATGCTGCTGGGTACCAGATTCCAGGAGAGATATTAAACCCAGGGCCATAGGGACAGTCTGTTGCCAGTGACAACACCAAATGTAAAAGAATTTTTACATTTTACCTTGTAGGGTAAAGCTGTGTGGTTTGCAAGTCAGTTTAGGAAATCTCCATTGAACAGCATAGGGCAAGGTGATCCCAAATCCTTCTTTACCCTGTTTCTCCACGACAAGAACTTCCTGAGGTGGGAAAGGAGAACATTGGGAATTCAATTCAGCAAGAAACATCTAGTACTTCCCAAAGGAAATGGGCAGGATCTTAGCAGGCTGAGGCTGTTTCCTTGCTCCCACTTCCCTTGTAGAGCACTTGGGAGTGTCCTCTCCTGCACAAACTGCCTTTCATTGTCTTCCTCAAGCACAGCTTTGTTTTGAGGCATAGCAGAGTGGCAGAGAACCAACTCATTCAGTCTTCAAAAGCCTCCTTGAACCAGAGGACTGTAAAGCATGGATATCTCTGTGTGTCTCTCTCGTCTGCTTGTACAGCTCAAGGAGTAGGCATTAATAATTAGCCCCTACGAGGAAGCAGCTGGAGATGCCCATCCCTTGGGGTTGGTCTCTTGAGTGTTCTTAGGTTTGTTTTCTCTTTCTATATTCAAGCCTGTTCCCAACAATGCCACGGCACAATTTCTGGAAGGTGAAACCTTTGGTGAAGTCATTATGTGCCAAGTATGGAGTCCAGTACGAAGAGAAGCCTCTTGGAAAAGCATTTGTAGACATCGTTGGGTAAGGTCCTTCTAGTATCATCTGCAGCTTGTAATTCATTGTTCCATGGACATCCTGTATTTTCTAGAACTGAGAATTTAGGACATGATAGACCCTTCAGAAATACCATGTTGACATGTGGTTATCTGGTGTCATGAGGTTACTAATTTCATATCATAGTCCAAGGAACACCCACAGCAGAGATGACAGAGCTCCACTGGCTTAGTGGATTAACATCAGCTGACAACAGAAGGGGAGCAGCTTCAATAGATGATGGGAAAGAAACAACTGTCCCCCAGAGCACTGTTATCAAAGTACCAAATACTTAGTGTTCAGATGGCTACTAACCTGATCTAATAGGGACCTTTGTAAATGCTCTTCTGACACCTGGTGATTCTTGCTTTTGGGAGCTGGCAGCATATCTTCAGCCTGCAAAGTGAGATGAATCAAAGGGGAGTGAGTCTGGTTACAGGCCATGCTGCTTCCCATCTGAGCCCTGCCAGCAGCAGTGGTCTTTACCCTATAGGCACAGCTGAAGACTAATCTAATAGCCCTTGCCAGGCAGACTCAGTGTTAATGTTTCTGTCTCAGTTACTCCAAGAGGAATAATTCATGACAGGGAACATGAGAAAGTACTCTCCAGTCCACTTGCAAACCATTCTGAGCAAACACACATTAAAGCTGATTGGCCCCATCATGTAGAAGAGCTGAAAACTGGTTCAAAACCTCCTTTGCTCTTCTTATCCAGTTATCACAGGACAATGGATGCAACACTGGGACCCAGCAGGATGATGCCCAGCATCCCCCCTATAGTGCCCACATCC